ATACAGCTGCTTATTTTATTGTATTTCAATACAGTCATTAATTTATATATTAATATAGCTGGATTAAATTTGAATTAAGCGTAACTTAATTATCGCTAAACGTGCAAGAAAACAATAAAACATGAATATACCGAAGCAATATCAATAAATACTGATATTTAAGATTGAAATGTTGCATTGTTTGAGTAGTAAGACTGATTAGAGTGAACGTTTGTATGGTTGTCAAATAATAGAGCCAAAAATAATGTCAGTTTATTATAAGAACTATACCAACAGAACAACAGATTAAATACAATATAACACAATATTTTAATTATGCAAGCTGTGATTTAACCCAAGGATTAATTACATTCAGTTGTTTAAATCCTTCGTGTCAACTGAAATCGGCTACATTATTTTAAACTATGTACATTTGTGGTTCAAATGAAGAAAAATTAGAATTAATCAAATGGCGCCAAGTAGAAAGAAATGATTACCGTCTGCAGTGGCTCGTTCTTGGAACCGAAAGTTTTTTTTCGATTCCAGAAACGTAACATGAGTGATTGGAACATATGTGATTATGGTTCATTTTACAATAAAATAAACGACACATTGTGAACAATGCAAGGCATATTACTTGTTGCTCCATCTCGTGCCATATCATGTAGCTGATTAATTGTAACTGTATATATAAACACACTGCGTTGGTGTACACTGCTTTTCGTCAGCTCTGACCTTGTTCTCACATTACTAAATACTTAAACAAGCGTGTAGAGCGTGCAGTGGCATATACGTGTGTGAAACAAAAATCTTCCGATGCGACCCACGAGACATGGTCAGATGTCACGGAAAAACGTCATGCATTCTCACACTTGCAAAAGTGTGATTAAACTTGTGTATTCAAAACGTCACTTTTGCCCGCAGAATATGTTTTGCATCTTTGTCTTAAAGATTTGTCAATATCCTAAATTATATAAACTTCAAGTTTTTAATCAAGACATTTCTTATTGATTCACGGATGATTGACGGAGTATTAGAGATGACAAGTGAAAGATCTGTACATTTATGGGGGCGAAATAGATTTGTAATGGTTCTACTGTTCTACTTTCTGTTGTATTTTAAATGACGCGACACAACTAAATAAAAAAGACATTGCTTCTCTTCTTATTGACGTCATTTTGACATCACATAGAAAAGGTGTATTGGAATTCGGAATGTGTTGATATTCAAACATCTTTCCAATTTCATTTTCAGACTTCTTGGGCTTTCGAATTTGGTTCGCTCGTACAATATGTACACATTATGCACACTTGTACACATATATATGTACACATTATGTAAACTATGTCTACACTATATGACTGGCAATATGAGATAATAAGACATATACACTTGATTTTACCAATTACCATTTTAATTATTATATATGTTTACATGATATGTATTGTACTAACAAGAATATTTAAAGGGCGGTGGTCGTCGCACCACGCATGTTCAATATTTGAGTCTCATAAGAACACAGATGGCTGTTGTTCATTCGAACGAGTACACACTGAGATGTTACCAATTTGTTTAGTGTTTTTTAATGTGATTGGAAAGAAGCAGTAAGCGGCGGTAATTAGTGCGAGTCAACCGCACCCATGTCAAAACTCGTACTCGTGATTTTATTAGAAGAACGCATTGGTTTGTTGGAAAATCAATATTTTTCAACACAAATGTCGCACATGCGCCACGCAACGACCACCGCTCTTTATAAAGATAATATTATGTACATGTCCACCTGGCTATGTACATATCCACTGTTGTACAACAATTAATATACATAATTTGCATAAAATAAAACTCATTTCAAGTTTATTCACTTGCAATGAAACAAAATAAAGTTTAAGAAAATCAAACGCTTTATCCCACGCCATAATTAATAATAGACGACCCAGTAGTTAACTCGTGTGTTTCACGTTTTTTTTTTGTTTTTTTTCTTGGAAAGCTCACACATGCTGAAACTAATGCCTATTTGTTTGACATTCTATCTGGCGATGGTTATCACATTGCTACAAATGCAAAACAGAGCAATTCTCGTTTTTGATGACTGTGTCGATTCCATCACATAGTATGGACTATTACATAATGTCGAATGTAACATGTTGTTGGCTATATCATATTCCGACAGAACATAGCTACGGCTGTCACATACCATGAACTAAAACCTATGTTTGTATTGTACTTCATAGTCTAGTCTGCGTCATATCGACGACAATATTATCGCATATCCTGTAGCCTGGCATTCGACTGACAATTTAGGCCACACAAGAATTACAGTATTGTTCTAGGAAGAAACCTGAAACTGCGAATCTAACTAATACATCAAACCCGTTGTGTTAATATGTCATAAAATAAGCTGGTGATATAACTTATACTTATGAAAAAGACCAATCTTGGAAAGTGAATTCGCTCACTGAATCAGACAATGAAAATGGAAATGGTGAGGAATATTTTAGACTGTTGACAATCGAGTCTGGAACTCCCAAAATATAATCGATTGATTTTTGTCTCAAAGAGATCGTAATGCCTAAATATATTTTTAGATATCTGGTAATGAACAATTCAGATTCAGATAGCTTCCGATATTAAACCAATTTAACTGTTGGTTCTTGTGCAACCTTCATAAACATATAATGAGAACTTGTTATCTGGCAATGAAAAGTACTTCCAAAAGGCATGTTTCTATAGCAACGATAACCATCAAAGAAGCTAATATTTAAATTGCCCTTCATTTAAAAGTGAATAATGTGTCAAAAAATGCCTTACGACAAAAAGGCAGACAGATAACGAAATAACAGTCGAGAAGTTAATCACATATTATTATACATCTGCCACCGTAACGCCATAAGTTACAGCGTGCCGTAATTTTGCAGTATTGCACGGGGTATTTTCAGCTCACCATATTAGGAAACGCGACTTCCAAATATGAGAGGATTACGCGGGTAAGCGAACTCTAATAATAATAAAAAAAAACATGGCTGCCCCAGAGTTTGACCGGACCACACAAAGAATTCGCTAAATTTGTTCTAAACATTTTGGATTTCAGCATTCCCATGATGTATTCCTGGGGGGGGGGGGAAATGTATGAAAAGGTTATTACGAGGAGACTGTAAAGTATGCACTCAGACAGTACTGCATAATCTCACCATATCAATGGGTTGAATGTTATATATACACATGGCTATGTTGTTGTACAGAGTGCCATTAAAGATATGTTTGAACATAATTTTGATTGCATCATCAAAGTTAAAACATGTGACAGTCCCTGAAAATATGAGAAAAAAAATTGCTTAAATGAAGCATTAATCAAAAGTTCCGAGAGGATAATAACAATTCATTACAATTTATTAGTTTTATAGAACTAGAACCTAATGCCGTGTAGTCCCATCGTTTCAATGTTTCTTGCTGTATAGGGGAACCTTTAATTGCGAACACCTGACATACCACTGTCATTATTTATATGTTTGAACAGTTACTGCACAATGAAGTACATCCAGCTTGTCACAGACAATATTAATGAGTATGACGTCACAATTTGCGATCCAGTTGAGGCTGCAATAAATGAGAAATAGAGCATGTTAGACATATAGTTACCATATCCAATACATATATATACAACACATGTTTCTATATCACATTTCCAATTTTTCTACGAACTTGATTAAGATCTTAACGTCACATAAATAATATATATTGAAATATACATTCACAATATATCAATAAGTTCGCGAATCTAACTTGGTTTTCAAGAATATATCGACCAATGTTCAAGTAATTATTATAACCTTCGCATAAAATTTGTACTATGTTATTTGCTGTTGTAAAATCCCGCAAAAAAATTAGTATGTGTTTGGACTCATAACAGTGAAATATGCTAATTTACTTGACCTTTCGTCGGAGCAAGGTTTTGCCCTTTATGGTGATTAGATTAGCCGTGGAATATAGAATACACTAAGGTCATTGAACAGCGCCCCCACAGTGTAAACCACCAAATGCATTTCACTCACTGTAACGCTGTGGTGGCGGTGGGCGCCATGTTGGATCCCAGCCAAGCGTGTCGCCATTCTTTTCGTTCTCTACTTCCAGCCAGTCAATCAGAGGTCTGAAATATTCCACCAGAGGGGTGGCATCCATGATGCGCTGACCAGTTAACACCTCCATGGCGTCCATCCAGGGTTTACTTTTGCCAAGTTTTAACATGTCACTGAAAATATAATAATATTAACCAAAATTATGGGAAATCAGCGAAGGCCTTACATTCGAACAGTTATCAGGGGTAATAGTTTTTTTCTTTTCTGTGCAATAAAGCCGGAAGTTTGTACACTGTAGGAATCTTGAAATTTGCGTTTCAAACTTGTGTTTTTGTTCGAGTCGGATTTCAAGATGGAAGCCCTCACATATCGGTCACTTCGTTGCATTGATTTTAAAATCACTTGTATGTTACATGTTTGCGTACTAGTCGGCCTGGTTTATACATATTAAATCAATAGATTTTTATCACTATTGACAAATTCAGAGTGAGAGAGCTGCGAGATTTGTTTTTTGCTGTTTGCAACTAATTTGTATCAATAAATAAAGTACTTACGCAAGTTTCTTTCCTGCTTTAAGCGATTTATGTATATCGCAACGATGCAATGGTTTGCCATCATCCAGCTGACCTGCTTCTATGCATAGGGCTTTGTGAAATTGAAATTGAATAACAAAACTTAAAAAATATCTGAAATAGGAATGAAACAAAAATACTTAGTGTTTGCTTTCAAGAATATATGTTCTCTCAATCATACATCCGTATCGACACCATGAAATTAATTCAGTACATATGCGTCCGAACGGCAAACATTTTTCGAATGACGCAGATACGCAGAAAAACAAGCAATAAATTACAATTCGAATTTTAGAACAAAAACGTCACAAAAACAAGCAACAACTAATACATTTCGAATTTTAGATCAAAACGTCACAAAAAAGCTCCTCATGACAATCCTTTTTGCCTTGTGTTTCGAAGGGCATCGTGATCGATATAACAATTATTTACCTTGTTATGACATGTATGTCGTCATGGCGTACTACCGGTGATTAAACACACGCATTTTGTATTCACGTCTAAATCCAGACATGTATGGAAAGGTATAATCTGGAACAACGCATTGTTCTGATAAGGTGCGTTTTAGAATACTTTGTCTGCAACAGTGCTTGCCTAAATTTCATACACACATACCTATAACTTTCAAATTGTATAAAAGGCCTAATTATATCTCACATATAGACCTAAAATTCGAAAATAATTTAGTCTGCTTGACATTCCAATTTCCCGTAAACAAAAAACAAATACCATCAGAAAAAAACAATGTTTTCAAGTATCGTAAATTTTTTTGAGGATAACAGACCTAAAATTTGATTGACATCTCGTTTCACGTTAAACAATTATTCAACGAATGAATGATTACCTAATGTAAGGTGTATTAGCTGGTATATGGTGTTTCGCTCCTGGATCAAAAAACTCATCTAATCTTTCAACTGGTGGAACAATGCCTTGGTACTGCATCCTGGGAAAGACATTTGCATATGAGAAGCACGATTTTATAGAGGGGGTCTAAGTATGTATACGTGCAAGTGATGTTGGTAATTAGTAAACGCATCATTATACCTTAAATGCACCATGACCGCCATGATCTCGTTGTAAGCGACAGGGCAACGAGATTTGTGTTTACCCCTTTAATAATGTTCCATTCTCTCCTGCCATCACGTCAACTGTTCCAAATACAATGGGTACATGGGTCATGTTACAGTGGCTACGGAGCCAACGGTGAAATACTAATCGTGAGCAAAACAAATCTTGTCACGTGGTTGTCTCGCTCTTTGCGAGATCTTGGCGGCCATTTGCAATTGAAGTATAGTATATTAAAGCTCAATCGCGTACGTTGTGGTGTATCATGTACGATATACATCGTTTACCTAATCGACATCTGAAAGCGCGAAAATGAAATAGTGAATTCAGAATTTGAACAAATTTGAATATAATGGAATTGGACGTAGACGTAAAATGCTTTTTTTACCTCAGCTGCCACCACATTGTATTGTAATTCTCAGGTGTAATTTCCCCAGAAAATACTTTCCATCTCCAGAGATCAACCATTAAACCGAACGGTAAGAAAGCTATCTTCTGCAGTGCCATCTTCATCAGAAAATTAATATCGTTCTCTATATCACGAAAAATATAAGTATTATTTTTTGCTGTGATTGATTTGGTTGCATTTATGCATGTTACATGTAAATGTGTGCATATGAAAACAAATGAAGAATTCAGTTATTATCACCCCCGGTTATCGCCACTATTCTATCGTCGCCCTCGTGCAGGCCTTTTAACTAGGTCAGAATTTAATTTGCGGAGATGTGTGTGTCTGTGATGCAACCTGCATGTGTTCCGTGTCTGTCGTATGGCCACGGCCATTTCGTTCATAACATACGGGACATTCCTTGATATGATGTGCGAAAGCTCACCGATAATGTTGCTAGTTATTAAACTACTAGTCTTGATCCACATTGTCCACACTTGTAATTCAATGGCAATTAGTTTTAATGGAAGTAAAAAACTTATCAATTTTAGAATGATTGGAGCATTGAACTTGCTCAGAACTTAGTAAATACAAAAGAAAAGATATTACAAACAAAGGAAGTAAATATATCCTTACCCGGATCGTTCTCAAAACTGTCTACAAGACCGAGTTTGTAAAGGTGCTCTGGGGTAGAAACGGACAGCGCCATCACATCACCGACAGCCTCGTGGAATGCTGGATTGGCGCCATCTTTGTAAACGAACGGTTGGTCACGATATTGTAGGAAGTACTGTATATGTCCCATTTCGTGGTGGATGACGATGAAGTCCTCCATTGTCGCGACCGTACACATTTTCATCCTAGAAATAAAGAGCAAATATGGAGTTACGAAGACCGACGATGCATGAGGCATCGCGGTTAAAGGGCGGTGGTCGTCGTGCTGCGCATGTGTGACATTTGTTTTGATAAACATTGATTTTCCCATAATCCAATGCGCTCTTCTAATGGGAATCACAAGTATGAGGTATGACCTGGTCGCGACATGCACTAATTACCGCCGGTGACTCCTTTGATACCTTCCAATCACCTAAAAAATATACAATTAAAGCTTGGTAACGTCTCAGTTTGTACTCGTTGATCTGCGTTGATCTGATCACATGAGACCCATATATCTCGCACATGCGTGGCACGACGACGACTACCCTTTAAAGTAAGTACGAATCATTTCAATGGTCGATGTTGGTCGCGTCACAAATGTTCGGGATTTTGTGTTGGTAAAACAGCGATTTTTCCACACCTTGAATCCAACGCGCTCTCTCAGTGACATACGTGAATGTTTTATCTGATCATTATGTGCACTAAATAGCGACTTTGATATGTCTAAAGTGCTATGATGCATTAAAATTATCCCAGTAGTAACCTAGTAAAACCATACTAATTCCTATTTTCAGTATGTGTTGATCTGCGTTATATTCAAACTCACCATCTTTGTTCAAATGAAGCACATGCGCGAGGCGACGACAATCGCCCTTTAACGAGAAAAAAAATAACCAAACTAAGTGCTATGCTTAGCTACTCTGTTCGAAGTACACACACTGTCCCACTTCAAACTAGTCATAGGCTTTTTTCGTTTTTACGGTCTTCAAATCATTGCATTATTAAACCGACGCTGTCGTCCGAACTGCACATGTGTGTATAGAACACTAACTACGAATAATTGTTACGTCTGTGAGTGATGTTTCAAACATGTTTTGAACTGTGTATGCAGTAAATACCAGCCAGCGGCAGAGAAATAAATAAGAAGAATATAACCAGAAAATGCGTAAAGGCACATATCCCGCCAATTGTCTTAGCATGCCCAATCGAAGCACAGAACGCGTTCAGATTACTAGGCTGGCAACAAACAATGTGTCTTATACAACGTGGCAGTTAGGACCCATGTCGTACCATGATCACTCATCAAAGAAGTGAACTCTATCCACGTCTCGCTGAGAGGTAATATCAAAATGGCGTAAACCACGTGCCCGACTTATGTCACGTGGTTAGCAACTGACCGGAAGTTATGTCACGTGAGATCTCGACTACTATACCTGACGTCATTTCCGACAATGAAGTCCCAGGCTGATGCATGGCACACGACTTCTCGTCCGTCGTCTGGTTTGACAAGTAGCGAGTTTTGCCAGAATTCTTCGGAAGCTGGTAAGAGCCCCAGGAATCGGAAAAATTCTTCTGCAATCTGGAACATTTGCAGAGGCGTGTATCCCTGGTGAGAAAAAAAAAACATACAAATTTATGTCATGTAATGAGCGGAAAATATTCAAGAATGCTATTTTGATATTTATGTCTGTATATAGCATGCCAGATATTCAAGTTCAACCCAATTAGCTGTCACCGAGACAAATGCCGCTCTAACGTTGACAATTACATTAACCAGGCAAAGCGCTGTTGTGAGAAGTCCGATTCAGGCCGTCGCTGTAATTCCTTCTATGGTAGCTTCGCAACTTGATGCTCGTTATGACACCCTCCTTTCTATGCTCTCTACGATGCCAACTCCTCATGGAGCTATTATTTAGCGATCTATATTTTATACCAAGAAGTATTTGCTGTACAACGTATTGATGTTCATGTTGAGTACAAATAAACCAGTTTGAATTATACCTCACGTCTGTTCAACTCAAGAAAACACAACGCAATCGATGTCCGTTTCAATAACAATTCCGCATGATTAGTCAGTTCGTTTTATGTGACGAAAAGAACACCCCAACGCCTAGTTTTGCGATATAAACTTATCCACCACATAAATTTGCCAGATATATTCATTTTGTTCACATTTGTGTAACTAATAACCGAAATGTTCAACAGCCCACAACTGTGCCATGTGGTGTTTTAATGGCCCCCTAAACGACATGGACAATTTTAAAGTGGCATTCAGCCTTCATAATGCTGTTAAAACTCACTATATAGAGTCTATTGAGAAATATCTGTGCTTGTAAAAATGCGAGAAATTGGTCTGAAACAAACAGCGACTGGAGAGAATTTAATTTTATTGGTGGCCACCCGTAAACCCAAAGGTCTGCTGCTCGGCTTTGTTGTTGAAATTAGTTGACCTAGGGAGTCTCGAGTGAATTTGAAAGCGAGGCTTCCAGCAGACGCCGTCATTTTTGTTCTTATCGTGTGTATGTTTTCATGCCCGGTAAACGTTGTCGACCTACAGTTATTGCTATGCAGTATGGTACTCGTTGATATTTTTAATCGGGGTCGTGCGAAGCTAGGCACGTGCTTTTAGCATCGATATACCGCATTCAATGGCACAGATGTAACCTTCAGGAAACGAGGTTAAGTCCATTAAACCATCAATACTTTGAAATCCTGCGTCGTTATCTCTACTCATTGACCTTCGCTACTCATTGCAGCGGTGACATATTGAAATAATGAATCGACTACGTGCTCTGCATGCTGTTGTAATGTGAACTATTACATCACGTAATTGAGAGAACTACATGTCAATGTGACGTCACAACGTGCACACCCCGCAGATGAGTCCAAGAATATATACCAGGCCGAATTTGACACATCAAATAAAACTGTCAACAAACAAACTGTGGTCTTTTATTGGTCGGATTTGGGGGTGTTACAGTTGGGTAGCCAATCTATTCCAATTCTGTAAGTATAGCTTCCCAATGACTCTATCAACGCTCAATAATGTACGAGGCGCTCAACTTGAAACAGCCTAGGCAAACCCATATATGTAAGTGGTTAGGGTCAACGCACTAAAATGACAGGTATACCGAAATGAATAGTTATGAATATAATAGTAAATATTTGAAATGAACATTAAATACAATGGCGTTTGGGGTGCTTAGTCCGAGCTAAGTATTCACACACACTTCGTTATCCCGTACTAAGAATCTGAACCGGGTCTTTAAAACGGGCAAGTTTTAATCCGTTCATTTGACGTAATAGCCTGCCTGTGCTAAGGAGCCGTGCGTGAACGCTAATATTTTAAAACAGCCTTGTTATACAAATGAATAATTAACATATTATAATTTCTGCTTAAAAACAAAACGATGTAAATAGACTTATGCCATTGTATATAAACAACAAAACGTATTTCTTATATACAGTAAAATCGAAACTGTGAACGATGTTTCCTGAAACAGTTAACGTGATTGAGGCGCTTTACAGAAACAGTATAATATCTACGTTTAGGAGCTAGCACAACCTCAAACACAAGTGGAGTTTTATTTCGCTTAATATGCATGCGCAATTTTACCTCAGCCTTCAAGGTGGGTGTTATGTCAATTGGCTGCCTCCCGGGGTAGGGTTCTGCTAGATAATACACATTGTGCCACTGTTGTGCCCACATATTCCCTGCAAATTACAACAAAATAATTGATTAAAGCGGAGGTGTCGTCACCTGCGCACTTGCAGGAATTGAGTCCCAAGCTACGACAACAACGCACGCTAAAAACGCAAAGGCTCATGGTAGACGCTTGTTTGTAAACAACGACACGCTATGGTCGTTTGTCGCATGCGCAGGTGACGACTCCCACGCTTTAATGAGAGGCATCGAGTACCATTCTAAACATATTTGCGTATTTGGCAACATCGTACATGTGTGATTACTACGTTTAGATGTACAATTCAACCTACGTCTCGACAGTTATGCAGTGACCTGAATCAATAAATCGCCAATCTCGCCGACCGCGAGGTCATCCGAGTAATAACGCGAACATATTCAGTGAATAAATTCATTGTTGATATGCGCTAATCAACTTGGTCTGCGGTTCCGAGTATATTTCCCAACTGAAATGAACCACTTGTCTCTCTCTCTCATCGGACGAATAACAATGTAATTCATCGAAGGACGCGCAGTTTGTCTCATGCGTTGCCTCGATTGTATGAATAAGCGCGTCACTAAGATAGGTCAGACATCTACATAGTCGCCTCCCTGTCGCTACAGACAATTGCCGCGCGATCACAGTAGGTAGCGGGCAACTTTGTAAACTTTGGCCTACATATATGTGCAAAACAACAATATACCGTTAACATAAAACTGAATTTTGTGAATACATTTTGTAAGCGGGACATTTAAAGCCAAATTTGTTTTCTCAAATGTCTTTGCTATTTTAGACCGAATGAAAATAATTTGTTATTCCTACATGCCCTCGCTCATATTTGTATATACTGTAGAATACTTTATTTTCCCTTGAATCTATTTTCGCTGAAGGGATGCTTCAGTGAAAATAAAATCCAGCGAATATACTTGTTTCCTTCTTTCACATTCAACTCAACAAAAATAATTGAAAATAAATGCCATACAAAACACCGAAAAAGCCTATTCAGCGAAAATTAATTCCACCTAAACTAAAGTAATTTACTGTACATGGCAACGATAAGCTGGTGTATTGCGCAAAAAATTGACAACAGAACACCCCACCTAGAAGATGAGCTGGGATGGCCCCTTTTGGGTTGACGTAATCTTCGCCGTAGACACCGATGAGTTTCCTTCTGACGTATGCATGTAAGTTCAGATAGAGTGGTTTCAACGTGTCGTACATCTCTAGCACTTGTTCCTCGAGATCATCCACTTCATATATCCATTGCCATAGCGACAGCATGTCTGTGTGTCCTGACTCATGCGGAGAAAATAAATGTTAGCTATGTCAGAACACGATTAACCA